AAGAGAAGATTATAGGAAGTGAAGGATTCTGATGAATTCCAAATATGAATATTTTCAATCTCTTGTTTTGATGGCCCCTTCGAGGGTGAAACAGTTCGTTAAAATAGTGCCAAAGATCGGAAATTCGAAAATGAAGAGATGTATGATGCCATATCCATGTTATTAGCATATTATTAGCGCTATTTCACTTTTTTTAACGTTTTTTTTCTTTTGAAAATCTCATATTCACGAGAACAAAACAAACTTTGCTCATCTCTAACTTTAACGCTTCATTTTTCTCATGGAATTAAAATTGATGAAAAATTTACAAACATCGATGTTGTGCAGCACTTTTCTATTTTTCAAAAAATATCGCAATAATGTATTTCTGCATTTTTTTCCAGAAATTTTACCAAGTTTTGAAAACATGAGAAAGGATTTCCGAACTTTGCATACTTTCATGTTGTGATGATCAGTTGGAGAAGTGATGAAATTAATAACCTAATTTAAATTTTTCATGCAATTCGATTTGCTCACTAACTTTCCATTTCTTCCAGATATCACTTCATTTAAAACTGCCTCATTTATTAATTGCAGTTGTTGCATTTTGTGTTCCATTTACAATTTTCGACATTGCCGTCATCATTTAGACCAAATTCCAGCGATTCTTTTACAGAATGGATATTAAATTTATTATAAGCGCTCTTTATATTTTAGCAATTCTCCCAACAAAGTTCAATTTTCGATATTTTTAAATTTGGAGTGTTTTTTGAAATTGTGATTTGAGACTGGAAAAAATTGCTGCATGAAATTATTAATTTCTTAGATATGTCGTATGATTTGGCAAAACAATTTCAAATGTCGCTCTTCAAATTTTGCGACATTATCACTTCATTCGAGCAAGTCATTGAAATTTACATGTGTTTCTGTGTATGTATATTATTAATATGAATGTGTTCCGAAAAGAAAATTTAAGGAAATGAAAATTTAGTTAGCGAAGTTTCTGTTTGATTTATCATAAAATATTTTACAGTTAGTTCATTACTGATTTGTTATGAAATATTTTACAGTTTTCCCTGTTAATTATAAATTCTATCCTATCTGATTGATCAATTCGCTTCAACAAGAAACCTCATAGAAACTGTTATGGATGAGTTGAATTTCATAAATAGCCTTCTGTTGTAACACATCCTCTACAAAGAGCAGGAGAGGAAATATTTTACTGCATGGCTGTGTTATTTCAAATCCTCTTCAAGTTAAATGCATGTCATTTTCTGATGTCCCCAAAAATCTTGCACATCTTCATGATTAACTTCATGTAACAATCTTATAAATTTTTGTTCACTACGAAATACTTTTTAACATAGTTTAGGCCATTGTACCCATCTCAGATAGAGATATGCTCATGTCGTGAATAATTTTTGAAGGAAAGTCATTCAATACCCGAAGTTTTGTAGTTTATCATGGGGCATCGCGGTATGCTTATTGCGTGTTGTAAAAGAACTGAAAAGTGGGACACATGCGATGTCTTAAGAATGATGAAGGTATGTAGCTATATTTTGTGTCCACTGAAATCTAGAGACTACTTCTCTTTACCCAAACCTCTCACTACTCTTATACCTTCAAGCATGTGTGAAAATAAACTAAAGTAGTTCATTTTGTGCTGAAAAAGTAGTCATGATGGAAAAAAAATGATTGCTGTATTGGAACAAAAATAAACGTGAAGTGTTCCTATCATACAAGCTGTGTTCATTGCAAATTCACAGCGATCTCCCACACATTCCACATAGTGCCATATAGGAAAGAAGGAACAATATCACGTCTTTCTACAGTAAATTCTGATGTTTCCCACCTGCTAAAGTTTCCCCACACTGGCTCTTATAAAAAAGAAATTAGGGTCCCTACAATTTTGCAAGATTCCATTTCATAAAAGTTATGAAAATGCAAACTGTAAAGTCCGCACCCAACTTGCTACAATTATCAGTCTGATCGTAACAACATGTAAGCACAAAAGTAACAGAAAGTGCGGTAATTTTCCAGTCGATTGCATCGTCGAAATGGAAAATAGTATTTCAGTTCAAATCAGCAATACTTCAATAAGTGATGCTGCTTGAATCCTTATCTTTTACGTAAAACCTCTTGGTCATTTCTAAAACTCTTTCTAAAACAAGTAGTGATTTTATAAAACGCTTCCTTTTGGAGAAATTTAATTAATATTCAACACAAAAAGCTCCAAAATATGACGAAAACTTTTGGCTGCTTTAAATGCTTCAGTGAATTTTAATTTATCAGAGGAATGGACAGAATTTTTTGTAAACTGGATGCTGTGAGTACATACTTTCTTGAATCTGCTGAAAAAATCAAAAAGAAATCTGTGAAATAACTAATATACGAAGTAGTAGCAATATGTAATAAATATAAAGGTCAGAAACTAGGAAGAGAATAACAAAGTGCGGAAAAACCACAAAATCAGAAACTAAGAAGAGAATAACAAAGTGCAGAAAAATCACAAACAGCTGAATTAATCACATAGTTCTCTCCCTAAGCTAATGATTTAAGTGGAAGTGAACTAGTTGTATCATATCAAAGTGCTTACTGCAACCATAACATAAAAATATATTTATAGCGACATAAAAAATATCACAGCAAATTAAAAGTGTCAGAAATATATTCCATAATAATGCAACTGGAAGCGAAAACTGGACGAAACCGTTTTTAATGGAATATTCTTCACAAAACCGAACTTAAAAAAATGACTATAAACGCAGCGCCATTAAACATCACGACGGAATTGGGTTTTTGAAGCCGAATCCAAACTGGAGAATCGGTGACAAATTTATTTACTTTAACGGAACACTAATTCAGGAAACTAAAAACTGTCAAAAAACTGTTAGGTCAGCTAAGAACTAAGGTTTAATCGTTGAGAACTAAGGCAGCAGGATGACGAAACAAACGGTTTTTGAAATTCTTTTTTGCAAAACCCAAACATGGTTATATCTAGAGTACATAAATTTGGCACTACCGTAGACGAATTGATGGTTTTTAATCACGGGGAATCTTTTACAGCCATGAATGATAACCATTAAAAGAGATCAGTTTTTGAAATAAGATGGAATATGAAGCGTCTAATTACAATATACATTAAATCGTGTTAATCCGAAAACCTTTAAAGAGCCACAGCTATCTGACAATCCTAATCTCTATATTACCTTGTTCTTCTTGGACTACGAGTTACAGCGCTGTCGATATAACTGAAGACAAACCATGTACTAACAATGTTGGTGGTAACCCATCAGTCAAGTGCCTTATTACTTCCAAATATTGTTCACTTCGTGAAACCTAAAGAAAAAGAAATTACTCAGTTAAATTAAAACTATGGAAAAATACAGCAATTATTCACTATTAGACACTGATGCGTCTTTTTTAAAGTTTTAGGTCCGTTAGTTTTTAATCACTAGTACGAACCAATGGATTTTACCATATTTTTTGCTTCTTTTCTCCAATTCTCTTTACATCTTTCTTTTCCGCTTTATCAAATGAAATATAAACTATCGTATTAATATCAAACTAAATTCATAGTAATATTTAAAAAAGTTTGTAGAGGTAATTAACTATCCGGACTACTCTTTATCCATTTTCAATGTGTTTCAAAATAATGGAAAAAATACTTCTTTTGGTGGAGTTGGTAAATTCAACAAGCATACAGCTGCGTCACCACTGTTCTTTTTGATTAAATCATTCAGAGCTGTCAAGTAAGGCAATGGCAAATCAACTGATTCCCTGAAGCAGAAAACCTACGTTATAGTCGAATTATACAGTGATATAAATTCAAAGTGTCGAAATGTATACTAAATAAACAATGCAAATGGAAGCGTAACCAAAAATAACAAGCATTAATTTTCAGGTGACCTTAATGGAGCGGATGGATTGTCACTGCCAAGATGGCAAACGACATGATCCCATGGTGTCACTAGCGATTTCGCATTTATTCGAAGATGTGCCAGCATTTGCTTCAATTGTCGCTCACGCCTTTGCATATCCTATAATAAAATATGTTTAGATAGGAGTCCAGGAAAAGAAACTGCACTCACTCCTCCTTTAAAAAGTTCTGTTTGTAAAG